CATCTGACCTAGTGGGCTAGTAAAAACCCATCTGCCTGCATGGGCTAGTAAAACTACCCAAGCTTTGAAAAGATGCTGTTTCTTAGCGGTCATGCTTCCCTTTTGCACATGAAGATCTGCAAAAACAGTTCATTTCATAAGAGCCAATTCATTGGGTATTTTCCATCTTTCACTGAAAAGAAACACCACATTAGCATCTTCTCATGTGTGTCATTTTACAAGACTCTCTTGTCACCTGGCTCTGCCACTGGGGTGGGAAAACTCAAAACACTTCATTCACCTTTATGCTGGGGTAAACTCACAGTAGCCATGAACACTCTGAAGAAATGTAAACCTAAATATTCCTGCTAGGCAAACAGAACAGTGGAACTGCATTATAATGAGCCAGCAGCTGTCACAATATGACCACAGTAACCAAATCAAAATACCAACGGCTAACCCAGATGAGACTCAAAGGTCACCCTATAAGCCAGCAGCCTTCGTCAGTTCTTCCCGAATCCTCCATCTAATCCCACAGTAAAATGTTCCGCTGAGCTAGTTTAAAAGCAGTGACTCTGGGGTGAGTTATTCCCTGGCCTGGTAGAGTATGACTAAGGACTAGACACAAATACCCCAGCTAGGAAACTGAACCACTCACACTGGAGCATGTGAAAACTGCAGCAGCTGACACAATGCTGCAGGCAACTGGTAGGAAGTATCACTTTTCATGGGCTCCCCTCACCAATTCATGAATGCAACCTCACTGGGCAACAGGCTTACTTCACCTCCAACAGTGTGGTTTTCTACAGAGACCCTGGAAAAATGGAAGGAAAATGGATGCTTCCATCTGTCCTATGATCAAAGACTTTCAGCTAAAAAAAAATATACCATCCACTGTTATAAAAATACTTAAGACAATAACTTGCAGAAGGTTGATGCTAGGCAAAACCAAATTTACTGTTTTACTGTAGACAGAAACAAATTTTTAAAGACAGAATAATTCTGAAAAAAAAAGACCTTATCTTTTGTGTACACTCCATGCAAGAATTTTCAATCAATTCTAGATCAAATAGATAATACTTTTAAAGACATGAGTCTCAAACTTGCCCCTCTGTTCTGTTAGCATATTCTAAAAGCTACCCAACTGACCACCTGTGAAGGTTTACTTACGCAGCTTCAAAAATATTCAAAAATAGAGTGAACAAGTTTCCAACAGATGAAGAGTACATTAATATCATTAATAATCACAGTAACCAGGTATGGTTTGTCTTTTCCATATATAAATCAGTGCATTGGATCGTATCTAAGGCAAGTTGGCTGTTATTTCCCCTAAGGAAAGCCTAATTTAGTCTACAGCAAACATCAGGTGAGAGGAGGTAATTAATTGGCCAGTGTAATACAGTCTAGCAATTCCTCATAGCCTGTCCCATAGCCAAACAAAAGAAAAAGACATTCACAATCACATTTTAGCAGAAGTTTGATTTACGATTAATTGTATGTCCTTTGTCGGGTTTACACAGCAACATCTAATGAAACTGCATTTGTAACAACCACAGCTAGACAACAAGGTCTCTCCTAAAGATATCCTGTAGCCAAGGAAGGTCATTCTTTCTCATGACCTACCAGGCACACATGTGAATGTGTGCACTCATGTGCATGCAAAAGTGTTCACGTATATTTACATTAGGAATTTCATAATCATGAGACAGGGTATTACTTTCTGATTAACAAATTCATTTCTAAAAGAAAAACTTTTATTATTCTTATCACTTATATCCCTTTTGGCCACAACTTTAAGAGAAGTAAAGAAAATGGACTAAGTTGTATTATTTTGGTGCCACAGAGAAATTTTGTTTTACAAAAATTATAACATTTATAAAAGATCATTCATATGAGTTCCAAAAGTTGAGACGAAAAAAAAAAAAAAAAGGAAGAAGACTTTGTTATAAAGAAGTTTATGGGCAAATGTGTTATTTGGTCTCACTAAAATAGCATATTGCCATAAGAAAAAAATAGAACATAATAATGTACTCAAAAAAAGGAGAGGACGCAATAGTCCTTTCTTTGAAATAAATAAAACTTCATAAGTAAACAGTTTACAGAAAAAAAATAGGTCATCTGCAGTTAATAACTCTTTCCCGTAAAATTAGTGTCACTTATTTCTGTAGCAGACGCCTAATTCAGTCACAGACTTGATTGATTTGACAATAGAGAATCTGCTCCAATAAAGTGGCTGATTCACTTCTGATGCTATAGCTTTTAACCTAATGTGACATGGCAAAATGAAGTCTTTGAAATATCAAGAAATCTTTTGGAGTTTTAATGAAACCCAGTTAAAGATTCTAGAATAGACTCTACCCAGAGCTTTCAGGAGATTTGAGAGCTTCTTTTGGTATGAGGAAAATGTCCACAAAGGTTACAGCATTAGAATACCAGGGAAACATACTGAACACTCAGGATTCAGCATGATTGTAGTCTAAAGGGCTGGAAGCTAGGGGTCCTTAACTTCATCTCTGTTGGCAAATTGCTTGTCTTTAATCTTTTGAAAATCATGTCCTGTTTTTTATTTAAAATAATAAAAATAAAAAAGCATAACACCCAAATGGACTCATCTTAAAGGGTAATTTCAGTACCCTGGGCAAACTTAAAGATCTTTGCTCCCAGAATCAGGCCACAAGATCCACAAGCCAATCAAGACATGAAAAGTAAGAGGGGTGTGAAGATTGTTCAGGCAGCAGCATCCCGAGTTCTTTAAAAATACCTTCTAATTCTTCTCTGAACTAAAATGTAAGGCATCCCATACTTGTTACAATGCCTTTTTCTCTCTTTGTGTGTCTCTGCACACTGCACAGTGACCTCTCGCTCTTAGGGTGACTTCTTGACCCGAGTCTGACACTGCCCCGTTAATGTCAGATAAACCATTTAGCCCAAGCACAATTCTTTTCTGTGCAAAAATCTGCTTGAGGTGGAAAATGTCGCGGTTTGTAAACAATAAAGAGCCATGTTTCACACCAGACAGCTTATCTAACAGAGAAGCCTTTGCACTGGGAACAGTGGGCAGGAGACTCGCCCACACTGCAGCATTTCTCATCACAATGCAGGACTCTGTCTTGGCCTCCATGACTAAGAGTTTAATGGGAAGGAAGGCAGACGGGTAAAAGAGAGAAGCTGACATGGGTTTTCAACTTAACAACCACGCAGAAAGAGCCACCTCTAGAGTGTCAGCCCACTTACATAGAAATAGTTTGGATAAAAAACTAGTTTGTCAAATAGCTGTCCATGAAGAAACACCCGTTATTTGACATAGTTGTATGCCTCGCTATGCTCTGAAACATTAACCCATCAGATTGCTCTTTAAACTTGTTCACATACACACCAAACTTCTAAACATGAGTGGTTTACACATTTTAGGTAACATTTTAGCTCATCAGAAAATAATTTTTGACTTTTCTATATTCTTTTCACGTTAGTTCTCAGGTCACTCTCTTTACTTCAGCTTTGACTTTATCTTACACAGTTAGGTAAAAATGAAGAAGCAGAGCCAAGATTTAGAAACCTGGCTATTGACACCAAAGAGTCTAAACTTGTACAATAAAATCTAAGTTGACAAATACCTTGTCACCTGTTTCCACATATTGGAGTTTTTTCACCAATAGTTGAAAAGAGCTAGGAACTCCAGCTTCAGTTAAAAATTAAAACTTCAACATGTAGTTTATCATTTTGAAGGAAAAAGAAACCTACCGAAAACAAGAACCTAGATCTAATAGCATTTCATGGTACCCAGAGAAGACACATGAAGGCATAAGCTTGATGTTATCCATTAAAAACACCATTGTGTTAAATATCTGATTTGATGGCAATTAAATAAAAAGAAAAGACTGAGATTAAAGGACCATCAACATCTTAAGTAACTGGCAAAGCTTCCAGGGTTTGAAATCAGGCTACTCTTGAAAAGCATTTGCAATTACAGCTTCAGTACAATATAATTATTGCTCAGTATTTTCCTTGGAGGATGGTCCAACAGCTCATGTCATGAAATTGAACTTCATTTATCGACAGATTTGCGATAGAATTTGGCCAGTCTGAAAGATATCCTAACATTGTGAAAATTTTGCATTTACTAGAACAAACATTATTGTCTTCAATCAAAACTGAAGTAGCCAGCTACTGGGACCTTCTAAGCCATTATGAATTATCCTTTCATTGCTCAGGTTCACTGCTGTTAAACAAACATCCCCACTGAGTAGTCAAAAGCAGAGAAATATGCTAACAAAACCAGAATGTAGGGCATGACAGAAATCTGCAGACAACTCAAACTGCAAGCAGCCACACATAGCTTCCACAAAACCATTTGGGTGAGGTCTATCTAGAGCAGTGGTTCTCAACCTTCCTAACACTGCGACCCTTTAACACAGTTCCTCATGTGTGGTGATCTCCAACCATTAAATTTTTTCATTGTTACTTCATAACTGTTACGAATCATAATGCAAATCTGATATGCAGGTCATCTGATGTGCAAACCCAAAGGAGTCACAACCCACGGGTTGAGAACCGCTGGCCTAGACAGTCTGTGTAAAGTCTACACCCTGACAAAAATACAACCAAACCATACAATTCAACTTGAAGGACTTACTCTGACTACACATGTCTTTGTCAATCATGAAGCCAAACATTTTACTACAGATATTTGCCATTTTGACTCCTTCAGTGTGTACTGAGAAAACTACTGTTAAACAACATTTTGTGTCTAAGGAAGACAACATTCTACATAGATCCTGTATCACTGAAAATCTTTAATTCCATGTTTGTAAAACTTAGTGCTTGCCTTTCTATTAAGCAACATTCACAGCCCTTTTATTTTCTCTTATTTATGAATGGTATTTCTATCATTTAGGAGCACTATAATGAGCTGACTGAGTACCTCTACTTCTGAAAACTGATGTCTGTCTGAGGCACATTTCCTATCCCATGCCAAAACATAGGCTTTCCAAAAGTACATGTTAATATAAAACTTTTCTTACTTTGTATTCTGGAATTGACAAAAGGTGGAGACAGATTGTCATGTGACCCAAGATCCCTGCTGGTCATGTGATCATAGGGGGTCCCATCTCCATAGTTCTGTAAATAAAACAACAGAATA